AGCCACAAACTTGGGGCATAAGGGCATTACGACGGTACGGATGAAAATCATTTAAGTCATTTTCATATTAGACATAAATATAATGAGTTAGATTTGAATTATTATCATATTATTTTACGCCCAGATCGCTTAAAAGATTCCCCATTTGGCTATACCCACTTTATAAGCTTAATTTTGGCATATGAGTATTCATGATTTACTCTCGAGTAATCACTTCACATTTATTATCACTACAATTATCTCACTGATAAACATTTCAACATTTCAACGAACAGGGTAATTAAATGTTTCGCCGACGATCATCTCACCGACAAGGGAATTTAGTTAGTTAGGGAAGTTAGGGCTAAGATTAGGATAAGGTTAGAATAAGTGATGAAAATGACTGTCGCGTCAGTGAAATGATTGTCTTTGTCATTAAAATAATTGTCGGTGAAATGGACCGGACCAGCGCACAAAAAGTTTTTAGAAAAATTCCGGAAATCTTCTGAAAAATACTGAAATCTGTAGTAAAATGTCCTAAAAAATTTTACCGGATTTTTCAAAAACCTTTCGGAAAATCTGGGCTGGACCGGACCCATTTATGAAATGCTCGTTCGTCTTAAAAAACAAGCCTTACTTTTGAGGTCCACGATATAGTTATAATAACAAGATACAAAAAAAGGATTTTCTTAAGATATTTGATTTTTTTTTTAAAAAAAAAAATTACCCATAATGAAGCTGATTTTTACAAATACATTTCGTAAAATGTTATTTCATATACACTATAACGAAAATTTATTAACATTATTGGCGATACATTTTTTTAAAAAAAAAATGTTATGATTATCGGGATGAAAATATTAAAAAAAAAAAATTCGATTGATTTTCAAGTTAATAAAATTTTTATTTAATTTCAAAAATTTAAGATATCCTTCCGTTTAAATGATTTCTGATGATTTTCAGCGTAAAAAAACTACAAAAATTTGAAGTTAAAATAGTTTTTAATTAATTTAATGTTGTATTTATAGAATATAAATACATTTATAAAGCCTCTTCAATAAATTCGACCAAAAAGCCCGTCACTTCCTTTGTTAAATGTGATTTGGCACTTGATTTTGCTTTATATACCAAAACTACTTCTTCATCTCTATTTGTTTTTATAATTAATTTTTTAATTTCGATAATTTTTCTTCCATTTTCACATTAACTTCTTCATTACCAATCTCCGTGGTATGTTTCATATAGCAGTATAATAGATAATTAATAATTCTACTTTCTTTATCCTTTGACTATTTATATATTTTCTATAAAAAATTTTATCCGTTATTTCTGTAAAAACTCCGTAAAAAATAAATAACTTGACAAATTCCGTTATTAATTCCGGGATATAAAACTTATTTTACAAGGATATTTTATAACATTAACTTGTATTATCGCCTATTTCTACAATTTGTTCTAAAAACAAAATATTCCTATTTTTTAACGATTCTCTTATTTTATTATAACTGTATACTGCAGCATTATTTTATTTTATATAATTAAAAATTTATTATAACATATGTTAGAGGATGGAGATAATATATATATATTATATATTATATACCAAGAAAATTGTCTTTAAAATAGTGAAAAAGTCTTTATTAAAAAAAAAAAAATTGAAATAAAATATGAAATTAATTTTTTTTTTTCGGGTTAAAAAAAAAAATAATTAAAATAAAAAAATTTTCGGTTTTAAAAAAAAATAATTAAAACCAATTTTTTTTTAAAAAAAAAAGGNAGCTACTTGCCAATAACCACTGGCTAAATCTAATGTGGTAAACCATGTTGCATTACTAAAAGATTCAAGCATATCATCAATTCGAGGCAATGGGTAAGCATCTGCTTTGGTGACAGCATTCAATTTTCGATAGTCTATGCATAAACGTTTTTCTCCTCCTTTTTTATCAACAATTACCACAGGTGAAGCCCAAGGGCTAGCTGATTTTCTTATAAGTCCTTGACTTTCCATTCTTGTGATTTCTCCTTGTAAAAATTCTCTATATTTAGGATTACATCGATAGGGTGGTTGAGAGATAGGAGTAGCATCTTTTGTAATAATTTTGTGCTTAATTACATTTGTTTTTCCAATTTCTGTTTGGCTTTTAGCACAAATATCTGCATAGTCACTCAAGAGTTGTTGAAATTGGCTTTGTTGATGGTAGTCTAACGGTCCTAAATGTAAGTCTGGATTGACTTTTTCTTCACTATATACTTCTGCTTGAGCTAAATAAATGGCAGGATTTGATTCTTCCAATTCTTCATCTTCATTATTTTGGTGGGCAGGAGATACTTCATTTTCCCATGGGTTAAATTCAAGGGATTCTTCTGTTGAATAACCAGAAAAATCAGACATATATATTTGTGCTTCTTCTAACTCTTCAGTCTCATATTCCTCTTCGTCATCATACTCAAATGATTGCTTCATTTTAATAGGTTTTGGAAGAGTAAAAATCACAGGGACTGTTGTGGATCGTCCATTGTATCTGATGGTTAGTGTTTTCTTGTCCCAGTCAAGGGCAGCATTTACCTTTCTCATCCAGTTGTTTCCTAGAATGAAAACACTGTCGCTTGATTCTATGATTTGAACATTGGTTTTAATAATTAAATTTCTGACTTTTAGGGGTAAATTTTGGATTTCTCCCAATGATCTAACTCTAGTTCCATTGGCAGTTTTAATTACATATTCTGAGGGTCCATCGATAGTTAAATTCAAAGTTTTCATCATGGCAGTTGTCATAATACTAACTGCAGCTCCACTATCAATTACTGCAATAACTGGTTGTTGATTGATATGAAATTCACATTTAGCAGCGGTAGTAGGAGTTTCTTCTTCTGAGTTGGAGTCTCCATAGTAACTTTCTCCAATATAATTGTTATTGTCAACCTTTTCACGTTTTCTCCTCATACTTTGAATTAATCCTTTCCTGTAAACAGGAAGTTGAGCTGTAGCTTGACCAATAGATAGACCACAAGGTAGGTCACTAATATATTTAGCTATGTCAAATTCATTGACATTTTCAATAGGTGCAGGGACCATTTTGGTTCTTACTTTTCTTTTTGTTGAAGGTTCTGCTGTAGCATCCATATCCATAGGTGTAGAAGGAGTTACTGGAGGAATAGGTTGGGTACGTAATTGGTCTTCCTTTCGAGATTCTGAAAATCTTGTTCTTTTTCCTCTAGGAGAAGATATCTCATATGGAACAGATCTAGAACGAGTTGTAACATATGCTTCATATTCGTCTTCTTCTTCCCATTCTTCCTCATATTCATCCTCATATTCATCATAGTAAATTTCTGCTTCATCATCTGCATAATTAATAGGTGTAACTGGTGCTCTTTGACGAGGGCGATTATTATTATTATTTTTACCATTAATATTTCCATTATTGGTATTTCTTCCCATTTGGCAGTTTCTGGAAATATGTCCTATATTTCCACATCTAAAACAAGTAATATTTGGATTGAAGGAATTCTGAGTAGGAGCTTGGCCATTTTGACGATTTTGATAGTTATTATTATTAGGCCTCGGTCTGGTATTTCGAGGAGTGCTTTGTTGAACCATTAGAACTGATGAAAGATTTGCATAATTAAGAGCGAGTTGTTGCATTTGTTTTGTTAATGCTTCCATTTCATCTACTTGTGGAGTTGGTTTAACAGTAGTAGTAGTAGCAGTTGGAATAGGTTCTGTAGTACTATTAGTTACTGGTGCTGTAGTTAGAAGAGTAGTATTTACACCTAATTCTACTAACTTAGCTCGGGTAATAGTTGCTTCCAAAGTATCAGTATTTCCAATTACTACCTGTCCAACTAAGAAGGACTTGAGACCATTAATATAGTAGTTAATTTGGTATCTTGCGGCTAAAGCTTCCCCTTGGGTTGCTTTATTTAACAGCTTCTTAAAACGTCGGGAGTAATTTTCTACTGATTCATTGTCTCCTTGTTTAATATTTTGCAGTTCTCTGGTCCACTGATTCCTTCGAGCAGCAGTTGCAAAGTAGTTTAAAAATTGGGTATCAAAGTTATTTGCATTGTTATCTACATGCCATTGGTTGATATTTCCTCTATTCTCTTCATACCAATCTCGGGCAGCTTCCTTAAGAAATCCAGCGGCTAAAGCAATTTTTCGATTATCTGGCCATCCATTAGCTGCAAAGGCAGCTTCAAAGAGTCGACACCATTCATATGGATCCTCATCATCACGTCCATAGAAAAAGGGAACATCAACAACTTTAGATGTTGTACGATTTTGGTTGGCAGTTGTAAGAGCATTAATGGCATTAAGATTATTTTGTAATGCAGTAGTAATGGCATTTGTATTGTTATTCAAAGTATTTTCCAAAAGGTTTCCAACATTTCTGGGATTAGCATTATCTATTGGGTCAGCTTCCCAAACTAACTTCATAAGATCTTTCATCTGACCTTCATTCATGTTGGCGTTATTATTTACTGGCGTATTATGAAAAATTCGGTATGCGTTGGTTACTTGAGTATCAGTTGGTAAACTCTTGAATCCGTTTGTTAATTCAAATAATTTATGTAAATAAAAGGATAATTCTAATAAAGGAGTATTTATTTGTCGAAACTTTATACTT